GGTCAGGGTACATTTTGACATAAGTGACTGTTTTTAACATAAGTTTCGGGTTCCAAGAAAACAAAACTTAAACTCACAGAAAAGCAAAACTTAAACTTAACAGGAGAGCAAAACTTAAATTTAGCCTTTACATTCCCCACTTCTTTTTCTGAGTACTTCTAATCTTAGAAGTGACAGATTATTGAGGGGTATCACACTTTGTGTCTGCTAAAGGGACATACTGTTGTCTTATTACCATAAGTTTAACTTGTCCAATTTGAGCTTGGAGAAAGGAGACCACACGGTTGAGTAAACAAGGTCCCACAGTTAACAATAACATGAGGATTATTAAAGGACCAGCTAGGGCTGATAAGAGTGTACTTAGCCAGGGGGATTGTGTGAACCAAGACTCAAACCATCCTTTTTGAGCCTCTCTCTCTCCTTGTCGCTCCTCAAGGCGTTTTCTTAATTTAGTCATTGATTCTTTGACTACCCCACTAAGATCAGCATAGAAGCAACATTCCTCCCTTAGGGCAGCACAGTGTCCCCCTTCCCTCATGAAGAGGAGGTCTAACCCTCGTCTATTTTGTAAAACAACTTCAGAGAGAGAGGTTAGGGACACTTGTAAGGCTGTGATGGAGGTTTCTAATGTTTTTAAGTCCTGATCTATTGCTGCTTGTAATTGGGCCATTTGTTGAGACCCATGGACCAGGGCAGCGGTTCCTACACCCACTCCTGTAGCAACTCCTATTCCTAATAATATGGCTAAAGTGAGGGACACAGGTTCCCGGCGGAATCGGGTGGTATATCCCCTTATTTGATATTCAAATGTATTTGTATCATGATAGAGCACTCTGGGAAATATTTGTACCATTACACAATAATTTACAGAGTTGTTAAATATCTGGGCTGAAATGCAAGGAGTTAACCCTGAGTCACATGCCCACCAGGTTCCTTTTTCAGGGACTAGAAAGCCCTGCATAGTGCTGATCTTTTTAATCTGGGTACATAATGGTTGTTTACTTTTGGGCGGGGAACCTAGGCATAAGCCTATCCCGGTTACTTCTGGGAGGGTTAATTTAGGATTTTTACCCCAACTACAGGAGGAGCTTTGTATCTATTGTATAGGTTCCATTAGTTGCTATTCCTTCATAATGGGGGGGGGGGGGGCAGCGGAAAGGCAGAGCCAGCAAGATTGGGTAAGTTCTGGTTGTGTGGAGTTTAATGCTGTATAGGCTACTTTAATTAATTTCCAGGGGGAGGTGTCAGTTTTACTTGGGATGAGGGAAGTAATCTGGGAAGTATGAGCCGGTGAAGGGGTTTTGGCAAGAGGAGGCGGCCGGGCTTTGGTGGATTTAAGTATTGGGGGTTTTATAGTTTTTGGAGACCAAGAATGGAGTCTTATCCTATGGGGATTGGGTCTTATGATTGAAACTGGCTTGAGGGAATTAGGTCCTATGGCTGAGGGAATTTCCCTTTTGAGCCGGATAGTGAACCAGAGGCCAAAATCATTTCCTGGGGCATAAAATCACATTCCCCAAGTGGTTCCTGAAAGCCATGTTAGAATATTTTGTTTTCCTTGGGGAGTGATGGTTATATTTAGGGGGTTACACAAGCTATTATTTCCGCAAGGGGTATTTTTAACTGTTCTGGGATCACAGTTGTAATTAGTTGGTTTCCAGGTATGGTTTCGTCCTACCCGGATCAAGCTGCTAGTGGAGTTTGATTTCCACCAGACAGTCCCTGTTTGTTCACATCCCCATGATTTACAATAAAAGTCATTTATTCCTCCGCCTAACCGTGTCTGTTTGCGGCTTCTGTAGTTTGCGGGACAGACATAGAAGTCTAATCCAGCTAGCTCACATCTAACTGGGGGGCCACTACAACCATGGAGTTTATCATAAAAAGGGGATCCTGATCGGCTGGGGTATAAAGGGATTTTGGCGGGGTCCTCTACATCAGGAATATCCCAGTAGGAAAGACCTACAGCAAGCTGGCAAATGTCTGGGTGAAGAGATGGCCACCAGGTCCCTAGGGGGGCTGTATTTGAAATAGACCATACTTCTTGTCCAGTGGGATTTATGATCTGCCATCGCTGTTGAACGGGCTGATGGGGGTTAGGATTGCTGGTGGTCAAGGGGAGAGTCCATAGCCCTATCCATACAGCGAACACGCAATTTGAAAGGGTTACCAGTCTTTTCCAGTTTCCAATTGGAGACCAGAGAGGGCGCAGGCTTGAGATGGGAGGCATGGATCCATGAAGCAACTCCATCCACTTTCACCGCCGTAGGTGTTATGAGTAGCACCTGGTATGGTCCTTTCCAGCGGGGTTCTAGGGATGACACCTGATGTCGTCTCACATAGACGAAGTCTCCCACTTGATATTGATGTGGGGTTCCTTCGTCTCCGGGCTGATAGGCAGTAGCCAGCTGCTTCCACAGGAATCGCTGGGTTTGCTCAAGAGCCTTAAGTCTGTCAAGCAAGGGGGTGTGAAAGGAATCCTTAAGTCTCAGGGTTGGGGTTAGGTCTCTTATTGGAGGAGGGGCACCATAGAGAATTTCACAGGGGGTGAGGTTACACAAAGAGGCGGAGGGGTTATTTCTTGCACGAAACAGTGCATAAGGTAGGAGCATAGTCCAATCTTTTATACCGGTCTCCAAGCTTAATTTTGTTAAGGTCTCTTTAATAGTTCTATTCATCCTTTCTACCTGTCCTGAGCTCTGGGGTCTATAAGCACAATGTAATTTCCAATTAATCCCCAGGGTCCTGGCCAATCCCTTACTTACCTGGGCCACGAACGCTGGTCCATTATCGGACCCTATTACCTTAGGCAGGCCGAATCTCGGGAAGATGTCCTCCAGGATCTTTTTGATTACCATTTGAGCTTTTTCTTTTTTGGTGGGGAAGGCTTCAACCCACCCTGAAAAAGTATCTACAAAAACTAGAAGATACTTAAGTCCATACTTTGCTGGTTTGAATTCTGTAAAGTCTATTTCCCAGAATTGTCCTGGTCTGGTTCCTCATAGGCGTTTCCCTGTAGGAAGCTTGGAGGGGTAAGCATTAACCAATTGACAGACCCGGCAGGCCTTTATTACCCGTTCGGCTATTTCTTTTCATTGTGTGCTGGTCAGCGGAAATTACTGCTGTTGATCCTTCAGGAATGCCTGTAGTTTTTTTGAACCAAGGTGAGTGAGTTGATGCACATCTTTAACACAGTGTAGGGCTTTTTGAAATTGCAGGCTAGGCCCGGTGGAGTCAAGGAGTTCAGTTTCAATGTCCTCAGGTGTTAAATTGTCTGGGTTCTCGTACGCAGTTGAATCTCCTGACTGTTGTTCCCCCGGTGAGGAAAGTGTTAACATGGTTACTCCCATCAGAGCTGCCAACTTAGCTTCCTCATCTGCCCTTCTGTTTCCGACCGCCACGGGATCATTTCCCTTTTGGTGCCCTGGGCAGTGCACTATAGCTAGTTCTTTGGGGTTTTGCACTGCTGAGAGAAGGCGGAGAATCTCATCTTTGTTTTTTATTTCTTTTCCGGCCGAGGTTAATAGCCCCCTTTGCTGATAAATAGCCCCATGTATATGGGCGGTAGCAAACGCATATCGGCTATCAGTATATATGGTGGCCTTTTTGCCTGCTGCTAGTTCTAATGCCTTCGTAAGAGCGATCAGCTCTGCCTTTTGTGCAGATGTCCCTTCCGGGAGACTAGAGGACCAGATGACTTTTGTCCTGCTAACTACTGCTGCCCCAGCTCGCCGCTTACCGTCCTGGAGGAAGCTGCTGCTGTCGGTAAACCACACGACTTCAGGATGGGGCAGTGGCTGATCTTTTAGATCCTGTCGTATACTGGTCTCTTCTGCCAGTATATGTTGACAGTCATGGATGACAGGCTCTGATGATTCTTCAGGTAGGAGTGTGGCTGGGTTAAGTGGGGCTGGGGGTCCCAGTGCTATTCTGTCTTTGTCAAGCAACAAGCTCTGATAGTGAGTTATCCTAGAATTTGATAGCCATCTGTCTGGAGGCTGATGAATGATGTTCTCCAGGGCATGAGGGGCTATAATGGTTAGCTTCTGTCCCAGCGTTAATTTATCAGCATCTTTTATTAGAAGGGCTGCTGCTGCTGCTATAGCTTTTAGGCAGTGGGGCCACCCGCTAGCCACTGGATCTAGTCTTTTGGACATGTAGGCTACAGGTCTCTTCCAGGGCCCTAAAGTCTGAGTGAGCACTCCTCGGGCTGTTCCTTTCTTTTCCACGATGTAAAGAGTGAAGGGCTTTTCTACATCCGGAAGTGCTAGAGCTGGAGCAGATAGCAGCGCCTTTTTAATATCATCAAAAGCTTGCTGATGTTTGGGGGTCCATTGGAATTGGGTGTCTGCCTTCAACAGTGGGTACAAAGGAGCGGCTAGGGATGCAAACCCAGGAATCCATAATCTACAAAAGCCAGCAGTCCCGAGAAACTCTCTAAGTTGCCTCCTATTAGATGGGGGGGCGGTATCTGCACAACAGTCTGTTTTCTGGGCCCTGTGAGTCATCTTTTGCCATCTCTAAGGGAATAGCCCAGGAAAGTAACTTCTTGCTGGCAGATTTTAGCCTTTTTGGCAGAAGCTCTATATCCAAGCCTAGCAAGCTCGGATAATAGTGCTCGTGTTCCAGACTCACAGTTTTCCTTGGTGTCAGCTGCCAGCAGCAGGTCATCCACATATTGAAGCAGGGTGACTCCTGGGTGTGTAGTCCTGAAGTTATTGAGGTCCCTGTGGGGGGCTTCATCAAAGAGAGTGGGGGAGTTTTTGAACCCTTGTGGGAGTCTAGTCCAGGTTAGTTGGCCAGATGTTCCTGTTTCTGGATCCACCCACTCAAAAGCAAACAGTAGCTGGCTATCTTTATGTAAAGGCAAACAAAAGAAGGCATCTTTTAAGTCCAAGACAGTATACCATTTTCGTTCAGGATTTAGAGTACTAAGCAGATTATATGGATTAGGTACTGTGGGGTGAATGTCCTGTACTCTGTTGTTGACTTCCCTTAAGTCCTGCACAGGATGATAGTCTCCTCCAGGTTTCTTTACTGGCAGTAGGGGAGTGTTCCAGGCCAATTGGCAGGGCCTTAGGACTCCCAGAGCCAAGTATTTTTGAATATGAGGTCTTATTCCATTTTTAGCTTCTTTGCTTAGAGGATATTGTTTAATATTGATTGGGGAGGCAGAGGTTTTTAATTCCACTACTATCGGAGGCTGTTTGACTGCTAAACCTAGTCCAGCAGTTTCTGCCCAGGCATCGGGGTAATTTATTATCCATTTTTGGGGTAGCTTGCCCGTTTGATCAGTCTTAGAGTGCATGAAGAGTTGATGTTCATCATCTACTGACATAGTTAAAGCTGTGACTATGGGAGTCTTCACTGAAGGGTTCAGAAACTCCACTTGGGGACCATCAGGGTTAAAGGTTATTCTGGCCCGGAGTTTGGTGAGCAGATCTCTGCCCATCAATGGGGCCAGACATTCTGGGATTACCAAGAAAGAGTGGTGAACTTTACCCTTCCCCAAGTCCATAGTCCTCTTAGTTGTCCAAGCCCGATATTTACTGCCATTAGCCCCTTGAACTAGTGACCTCTTGTTTGATAAGGGGCCCAATGGAGTTTTAAGGGATGAGTATATTGCTCCTGTGTCCAGTTCGAAGTTTACTGGGGTCCCCTCCACTTCAAAAGTTACCCTGAGCTCGGGGAGGGGGTCCGAGCCCTGACTCCCCTAATCATCTTCCAGGGTTAGGATGGCTGGCTGGCGTGACTGTTTCCTTTTAGGGCAATCTCTGGCCCAGTGTCCCTTTTCCTTACAGTAAGCACATTGGTCTGAAGCCAAGGGCGATTTTTGGCGTGGGCCCAGGTGCCCCTTTCTGTCTCCTTGCTTTTTAACTTCTAGTCTGTCTGCTGCTGTGACCAGGACCTTTGACAACATCTTAGTCTGTCTTTTATTCCTTTCATCTTCCTTCTTTTCCCTTTCTTTCTCCCTTCTTTGTTCTTTTTCTTCCTCTGTCTCCCTTTTATAATACACTTTCTCAGCCTCTCTGACTAAATCTCTTAAAGTCATACCTTGTAGTCCATCTAAACGTTGTAGCTTTTTCTTAATATCTAGGGCAGCTTGCCCGATGAAGGCCATTGCAACAGATGCCTTTTGGTCCTCTGCCTGAGGATCAAAAGGAGTATATCTCCTATATGTTTCCATAATTCTCTCTAGAAACATTGAGGGTGACTCATTAGGCCCTTGGATAATCTCTCTTACCTTGGCCAAATTAGTTGGCTGTCTGGCGGCCGCTCGGAGACCCGCTATTAGAGTCCGGCGATAAGTGGACAGATGCTCCCTACCTTCGAAGGTGTTGGGATCCCAGTTGGGTCTGTTCAGGGGAAAGGCAGCTTCAATTAGATTGGGAAGTTGGGTTGGTCCTCGATCTGGTCCAAGAATATATTTCCTGGCTTCCAGGAGGATCCTCTCTCGTTCCTCAGTTGTGAAGAGGGTCCCTAGAAGCTGTTGGCAATCGTCCCAAGTAGGCTGGTGTGAAAACATCAGTGATTCCATTAAACCTGTGAGTCGGGTGGGATCTTCAGAAAAAGGGGGATTATTATTTTTTCCAGTTATATAGGTCAGAAGAGGAGAAGGGCCAATATTGGTAAACTTGTATTTCTCCCCCTTGCCCATCATCAATCATTAGCCTGTAGGGGCAGAGGGGGAGCATTACTGGAGCATCAGGATTCTTAATTATTCGCCTTCGGCGGGTTCCCCCTGCTGGCCCAATTTCCTCCGATGGAGGAGGAGTTGGGCTTACCGCAAGGGGGTCATCTGGAGCAGTTTCCTCTACCGAAGGGATCGGATCTGCTTCAGGGGAATTGTCTATAGGACGTTGGGGACTGAGGGGCAAGAGATATGGGGGTGGAGGAGGGGAATCTAGCAAGGTTAGATCCTGAGATTCAGGAAGGATGGAGGGAAGAGGGGGAGGAAGAGGAGAAGGAGCGGAGGGTTTGAGGGACAGAATGGTGGGGGTAGAGGTGGAGGCAGGTACAAGAAAAGGTTTCACCCACGAAGGGGGAGATTCACAGAGGTCCTGCCAAGTGAGAATCTATGGCTGTTGATCTGGATGACCATGTGGCCCCGGCTGGAAGACAATATCTCTGACTTTTCGGATTAGAGGGAGGTAGAAGGATCCTTCTGGGGGCCATCCGACTCCGAGAGTGGGCCATTCTGATGTACAGAGAGTCTGCCAGGTCCGGCGTTTCACTGAAAAAGAGAGATTCTGGGCCTTTGACTGGACTTTAGTCCAATGATCAAGGGTCAAAGACAGGGTGTTGAGGTACCTTGTCCCATAATGAGAGAGATGCAAACAGTGAAAGTAAAGACACAGACAACAAAGACAAACAATAGATGTCCACCACAAGTTTGAAATAGAAACCAAAACTGAGTAGCCGGCAGAACCTGACGGGCTGGCAACAGAGTCACTGAGTCTGAATCAGTGGCAAAATACACCTGAGCTGAGGGCTCTTCTGTCCCTCGCATTGGGGGCACTTCCGTCCCTCGATTTCCTGAGTCCACCAAGGCATCCCCTGGGGACGTGGCCTGTGGCTTCTGGACAGGTCTGTCCACCACCGTCGGGGAGAACTTGCGCTCTCCGCCAACAGCCACCTTGCCAAGCCCTAAAATTAAAAGTCCTGAGTGATTGCAATGAAGAAAACAAAATCAAAACAAAAAGGAGGCACCTTACTTACCCCGAGAAATGTCCGTTGGGGTCTTTCGTCCACCGCTGCCGAATCGCGGACGAGCCCCCAAATGTTAGGGTCGGGCAAATGTCGGAAGAAAGGACCACCAAGAGACTGTCTCATGCAAAAGCAAAGGGGTTTATTGGGCCAGCATGCTGGGGCTCAGAGTTCTCCTGAGAGAAGCTGGAGCCTTGAGCACCGCTTAAGCAGAGTTTTTATGCAGTGTTTAAACAGGGAAGTTCATATGGCAGTTAGGGTGCGAGGGTGGGATTGTTACAAAATAACCATTACAGAATAATCATGCGTTTTGTCAGGGGGTGTTGGGTCAGGGTACATTTTGACATAAGTGACTGTTTTTAACATAAGTTTCAGGTTCCAAGAAAACAAAACTTAAACTCACAGAAAAGCAAAACTTAAACTTAACAGGAGAGCAAAACTTAAATTTAGCCTTTACAAAACCAAACCCTAACTCTACACCTAGCTCTAACATATCCCTAATTCTAGTCCTAATTCTAACCCAAATACTAACCCTGACCCTGACTCTGACCCTAACATTAACCCTGGCTCTAAACATCATCATCACCGTAAACCTCAACCTAACACTATTCCTAGCCCTATCTCTAACCCTATATCTAGCACTAATCATAACCCTACTTCATACATTAGCCGTAGCCTTAACCCTAGCCCTAACCTAACCCAAAATATACCCTTAATCCGAGTCCTAAATCTAGCTTTAACCCTAAACTTAAACCTAAACCTAATCCCAAACTAGCGCAAATCCTATACATAACCCTAGCCCTAACCTTTGGTCTAAACGTACCCATTACCCTAACAATAACCATAACCCTTAAGGTAACCCTAGGCCTAACCCTAAACCTATCTATTACACTAAACCAAACCAAAACCCTAAAACTAACCCTGTCATTACCCTAAACCTAAATCCTACCTAACCCAAACCCTAACCCTGATACTGACCCTAAAAATAACCCTAGATATCAACCTGAATCTTACCCTAAACCTTATAATTACACTGGACCAAGCCATAAATCTAACACTAAATCTAGCCCTAACTGGAAACCTAGACCTCACATTAGCCCTAGCTCTAATACTATCCCTAACCCTAACTCAAAACCTAAACCTCATCCTAGCCATAAACCTAGTTTTAATCATAACCCTAAACCTAACTCTAGCCCAAACCCTAATAATAACCCTTTCCCTTGCCATAAACCTAGATAAAACCACATCCCTTACCGTAAACTTAACCCTAACCCTTGTCATCACCATTGCCCTATCCTTAGCCCTAGCTTATACACTCGATCGAAACCTAACTTTAAATCAAACCCTAACTCGATGCCTAAGCCTAAAACTGGCCCTATCCCTGATGCTAATTCTAAAACTAGCCCTAACCCTAGCCCTAACACTAACCCTAGCCGTAATTTAGCCCTATCCCTAACCCTAACCCTAACCCTAGCCCTAAGAATAACTCTAACTCTCACACTGGCCCTATCACTTCTTCGAATTCTATCGCTTCCCATAAACCTAACCTTATCACAAATCCTAGTCCTAACCTTTGCCCTATGCTTAGGCCTAGCACTAACCTAAGATAAAAACCTAACTCGAAATTTAACCCTAAACTGAAGCATAAGCCTAAATCTAAGACTAGCCCTAACACTAACAGTAATCCTAAAAATTTCCCTAACCCTAACCCTAGCCCTAAAAGCAAACCAAGCCAAAGCTCTAACCCTAACCCTTAACCTAAACCAAGCCCTAACCCTATACCTAGCCCTAACCTCAGCTCTAATTCGAGTTTTAAGCCAAACCCTAAAACTAACCCTGACCCTTACTCTGACCAAACACTAACCCGAGATCTATACATCACCCTAACCCTAACCCTAAACCTAACAGTAAACCTAGCCCTAAAACACTAAAATTAGCCATAATCATAACTCTAGTACTTACATTAGCCATAAACCTAACCCTAGCACTACCTTAACCCAAAACCTAGCCCTAATCATAATCATAACCCTAAACCTAAACTGAATTCTAACTTTATCCATTACCATAACCATAACCCTAACCCTAATGCTAATTTGAGCCCTAACTTTAAAACTTAACCTATCCCAAACCCTACCCCAAAACTTGACCCTAATAATACTCCTAGCTCTAAACCTGATGTTAACCCTAACCTAACCCTTACACTAGACGTACCCATAATCCTAACCATAAAACTATCTTTAACCATAATTCTGGACCTGAAATTAGCGCTAACACTAATCATGCCTGAAACCCCCCCCCCAAAAAAAAAAAAAAAAACAAGCCCTCATCCTAGGGCTAAACCTAGCCTTAATCATAACCCTAATTCTAACCATAGCCCTAACCATAATTCTAACATTTGCCCTACCTCTAAACCTAGCTATAAAGCCATCCCTTACCCCAGAATTTGCCCTTACTCTAAACTTAAAATCTAAACTCTAACCCTAACCCTAAACTTAAAACTAATGCTAACACTAGGCTTAAACTAAACACTAACCCTAGCCCCAATCCTAGCCATAATTTAGCCGTGTCTCTAACCCTAACCCTAACCCTAGCCCTAAGACTACTCTCACTCTAGCCCTAGCAGTAGTCCATACCCTATCCCTTACCCTAACCCTAAACCTAGCCATAACCCTTGCAGTATCCTTACTTCTAGCCCTAACCCTAGATCTAACCCTAATTCCAAATTTAACCCTAACCCTAACACTAAGCCTAAGCCTAACACTAATACTAGCCCTAACCCTAGGACTAAAACAAAACCGAGTATGAGCCCTAACCCTAAAACTTAACTTAGACCAATACTAAAATTACAAATACCTAAACCTAGCTCTAATTCGACTCCTAACCCTAACCTTAAAACCAACGATGACCCTCACTCATATACTAACACTCACTGTAGCTCTAAATACTGCCCTCACCTTAAACTGAGCCCTAACAATAACCCTAGCCCTAATTCGGGTCCTAACACTAACCCTAAACTAAGCCTGACCTTTACTTCGATCCTAACATGAACCCTAGCTATAACTATCACCCTAACCTTAAACCTAACCCTAACACTAAAACTAACCCATACCCTAATCCTATCCCAAACTGTAGGTCTAACACTAGACCTATTCATAGCCCTAGCAGCAACCCTAGATCTAACCCTAAGTCTAAATCTAAACTTAACCCTTAGCTTAAACCTAAACCTAAAACCAACACTAACCCTAAGGCTAATCCTAAAACTAGCACTATCCCTAGCCCTAAAACAAAACCAAGCCATAGACCTAACCCTAACCCTTAATATAAACTAAGCCCTAACCCTCCACTTAGCTATAACTCTAGCCCTAATTCGAGTTTTAAGCCAAACCCTAAAACAATACAAACCCTAATTCTAGCCCTAGTTTTTAATTCTTTCCCTAGTTATTAGACTAACCAAAACCCTAACCCTATTACGCTATAAACCCTGACCCTGACTCTGAAGTTAACACTGACCCTAGCTCTAAACATCATCTTAACCCTATACCTAAACCTAACAATAGACCTAGCTCTAACCCTAACCCTAAATTTAGCCCTAATCACAACCCTGGTACTTACATTAGCCGTAACCCTGAACCTAGTCTTAACTTAACTCAAAACCTAGACTTATTCTGAGCACTATCACTAGATTTACCCCTAACACTAACTTTATCACTAATCATAACTATAATCCTAGCCGTAACCCTAGATTTAACCCTAATGCTAACCCTAACCCTATGCATAACCCAGTCAATAATCATAACATTAACCATAGCTGTACACCTATCTCTAACATTATCCATTACCCTAACCTTAACCTTAACCCAAATGCTAAACCTGGGCCTAAACCTAACTGTATCCCTAATCCTAACCCTATCAAAAACACTAAACCTAACCTGATACCTAGACCTAACACTATTTTTACCCTAATCCTTACTCCAATGCTAATTCAAGACCTAACATTAAGCATTAACCTATCCAAAACATTAATCACAACCCTGACCCTAATAGTACACTTAGGTCTAAACCTGAACCTAAGCCTCCACCTAACACTAACACTAGTCGTAGCCATAAACCTAACCCTAAAACTACTTTTAACCATAACACAAGACTTGAAATTAGCCCTAGCCGTAATCCTAGCCCTTAACCTAGGCTTAATGCTAACCCAAAACAAACCCAAGCACTAACCCTTATTCTATTTTTCTCCCTTGCCCCAAATCTACCTATAAGCTCATCCTGTATCTAAAAATTAACCATTACCCTAAACCTAACCCTAACCCTTGCCCTAAACCTATGCCTAACACAAAACCTAGTTCTAATCCTAGCCTTTATTTAATCATATCCTAACCCTAAACTTAGCCATAAGGCTAAATCTAACTCTTGCCCTAGCCCTAGCCCTAGTTCTATCTTTAGCCTTAATCCTAACCATAGATCTAAGCTCTTATCTAAATCTAAACCTAACTCTTAATATAACTGTAACAATGAGCCTAAACCAAACACTAACACTACCCCTAACCATAACACTAATCCTAAAACTTGCCTTCTCCCTATCCCTAACCATAAACCAAAAC